ATATATACAACTTAAATAACTTTTATAGTATATTATTAATTTTAAATTATATATTTAATAATGCAATATCTATGTAAATATTACATATATTATTTTGTGATATTAATTGCAAGCATATTATATATGTACATATTATTTATATTTTTAATTTGTATTAATATACCGTTTAACATGTAATTTTTTTATGTATTTTTTTGCAAAATAAAAATAATTTTAAATAAGATAGAAAAATTGAAATTTAAAATAAGATATGAATTTATTAAAATTTATAAGTATAAAATATATTTAATATGAATACTTTTTAATAAAAATAAATAAAAATCGAGTCATGCGGTTCAACTAGTGACCCACCGGTTCAACCTTTGACCCACTGACCCAGTACCTTAACCGGTTCGATGACCGGTCCGATTTTTAAAACTATGATAATAAGTCAAATTATTTATATTTTAATATATTTTAAAAAGTATATATTGTGTCAATTTTGATATACAAGAATGAAAGAGTATCAAATAATTTTAGATTTTTATAAGTTCTTGTATATTTATATAAAAGAAATTTTTAATCTAATAGTACGTTTTGTGGAATTAAAACATGTACATCATTTAATTTAAAGTTATTAATTAATAATATAATAATTAGTAAAAATTAGTATTTTATTATGGACAATACATAGACATATTTATTATATATAATTAAAATTTATAATAAATTATATATATATATATATATATTATATTTAAAATTAGTATACATTAATATTTTAAAACATCTAGAGGCTGTTGTGATACATAGATATGAATCATATGATTTACGACTCTTTTAGCTCCAACCTCAAATACATTGTTTGCTTGCATGCATCTCAATTTAATTCCTAAAAGATGTATTGATCAATGGATTAAGGAATAAAAATAATCATTAATTACCTTTAATCTCAGATTCTTTAGAACGTGGGACTTTCTTAATGCACCAAAACGATCCTAATAATAAATTAATTACAAAATTTTGTTGCCTCACTAACCCGGCTGCAAAACTCGCTAAGTTATAATAATTTTGATATTGTGCATGATTAATTAACTCCAGAACGACTAACAAAATCTAACACAATTAGTAAATAGTTGAGATCTCTAATCATTTTGACAGAGATTTGTGTTGGGATTCATCCCAAGTCCCACATCTGTAAAATGAAGGAACATTGACTAGTTTATAAGGGTGTCCACCATTCCATATAGTGGGAGGCCTTTTGGGAAGGAGCCCAAAAACAAAACCGTGCGGGCCTAGCCCAAAGCGGACAATATCATACTATGGTGTTCCAACAGGTGGACTATCGGACCCAACAAGTGGTATCAGAACCAACGGTTCGGCTGGGTTTGATGCGGGAAGACCCTCAGTGTTGTGCCTTGCAATGGAGATCCGAACTTGGTGCCTTGTGTCGAAAGTCTTCTTGATAGGAGGCAGATTTTGTTATCTCTTTACTAATATCTACATCTAAAAAAGAATTAATCATTGACTATCAATTAGGATATATCATTGATAATACAGATATTTCTTTTAAGAATTCTAATTAGTAAAGATGATTATAATGACCTTATTATTATTATTATTATTATTTTTACAGATATTGTTCTAGAGGTCAGTCGAACTTAATTATATCCAACCTTTTTTTTTCTTTTTAAAGATATATATAGTTAGTATGATTTTATCTAGAGAACATCCTAAACTTGACAAGGATTTTACATTCAATACAAAATACTTGACACATAAGCAATAATAACAATGAGCATGTGTGACATAAGTTTTGTGACAAATTTTTTCACTTAAATGACTCTATATAAAGAGAACTTCTAAACTACGAGAAACATTCACTCACATTATTACTACATACAAGTCATATGCTGACTTAAGCGTTGAAGTCAGTATAAGTGTCACAACCGGTGCTTGATATCTGTGTCACAAAATCGTTACATTATCATCGAAAATTTAATTCTTCGTTCTACTTCACAACAAATTTTTTCTTTCGAAAATGATTTTGCTCGAATTATACACTAAATGTGATACTTTGGATTATAGTGATGAAACACGCTACATTTATCACATTGGATTATAATGATGAAACATGCTACATTTACACCAAGAATTAAAATGGACCATAGAAGCACTTCTCTCTGCTCGTTTTATGGACGAATAATATCACTCTTTATTCAAAGTACCCAATTGATAAAATTTAGTGAAAACTACAAGAGTTAACCGACTACCACACCTTACAATTCAAATTCTTCGATCATTATGACTTAGGTCAAGACAAGACACATCAAGAAAAAACATAACACATAAAGATTGAGACTGGATGAGCATGCTTTAATCAGCTTTGCTCAACCAATTCTCATTGACTTTTCTCCGTTTTCAGTTCACTGAACGGCAGTTAGTACGAATTTGGCCACTGCTCCCTGTTAAAGGGCTAAGGTTTCCCATTTTGACCATGGCACTAGCAAAGTCTGCATAGAAAGTTGAAGAACTGGTGCTATAGGTAGTGACCTGAGAATCTGTGGAACCACCACTGAAGAGTTGCTGATCAGAATGCAGAAGCCCTTTATTGTTCACTAGATTCTTGAAATAAGCATTGTCAAATAACACATTGGTGGTGACATCAAGTGGGGAGAGGTTGCTGTCACCATCAGTGCTTGGACAGTTTGACTTCACTGATGTCGCAAAATCTGAATCAATGTTTGTTTCATTGTAAATTCTACCCCGGAAGAACTGGCATTTGGCTTGCCCTGTTGTATGTGCTCCTATATATACATGGACACAAATTTTAGGATAAGAAAAAAAAATCATTAGGTTTGCAATAGATACATGTGATATATATTGACATGTAATAGAGTATCAACAAATTGGTACTCTATTACTTAAGAGTTAAATAGATTTTTTTTATCAGTAAAATTACAGTAACAACTACGAAGTTCGAAATTAAAATCTTATAGATATTACTTAAATCTCACACGATTATGTGAATCTTAGTAGTTCTTTTTTAGGGGTAATGATGTGGGACAATAAAAGTGTTTGGGAAATGGAATTTATTTTTCTTATAAATTGTGCTCGTAATTTACCTGAGAGGACTACCATCTCTTGGGCGGTAAACCCCTTATTTGAAAAAGATGTTATGAGATCACTCAGATCCATTAGAGGTGATGGGATATCATTAGTGGCAGCATCTTTACTTGCAGTGGTTGAATCTCTTCTGCCTAAGCCAACAGTCCATGATGGACCACCCAACTGAGATAATCAAAATGCCAGTTAGTTAATATTTTAAATTAAGATCAGGTTTAATATTTATGTTCAGTGAATTGTAAAACAAAATACAACACTTTAAATTAATCAGAAATCGTTATATGTATTTTTAAAATAATTATTATAAAAATTAATAACCATTCCATTCATATTATTGGACAACAGAATATAAAATAGCCTTTTACACTAGTATAATTATGAGTGTACAAACTATTTTCTCTTAAATTAATCATATCTAAAAATTTCAGCTGGATATGAATTTTTTTTATCAAAAATTCAAAAATGCATGGATTAATATAACGTTCCTATTATACACATATATTTGAGTGAGACTGATAATATATACATTGCCACATGTAGAATATTATAGAATTTCTTGTTTATTTATCCTGCTTTCTATGTGTTCATATTGATTATTGTATACAATCACTAAGAATGGTTAGCGGGAACTGAAGTAGATATATGAAAACTTAGATTAGTTTAGATACTCGCTATCATGGTTGTAATCATCCTATGATAAAAAAAATTTATTATTGTATTAAATTAACTTACTGCCACGACAGAATCTCGAGCAGCAACAGCTAAGATATCAGCACAGGAAACAGTTCCAGGGCAAGCAGTCTCCAACTGACTTTTGATGTCGTCAATTACATCAAAACCCCTCAAAGAATTCACATTTGCACCAGCTGACTTCTCTCCCGTGAAGCTCGATGTGTCATCCAATAGAACTGATGCATCACATCCCTGCAAGAATGTATCACAACATGATTAGTGAAAACAATATGTGGATGCATGGAAACTCATACTAGCTAGCTAATAGCTACATTATATATTCTTAAGAGTTTATTTAGATAGAAGTTTAGAAGAATTTTTGTAAATTTCTCTATTAAAAATAAAGTGTTTTTTTTTTGGATAAAGAAACTATTAAAACTTCATCAAATGAAGCTTGTATCGAAACAGCCTTAAAAGTCCAAGACTTGAAGAAATGTCTCGGCCATCTAAAGTTGAAAAATATATCAAACATGTTTGAGATTCATTTTGACTCCTACACACGTATAACAAAAGTAATACATTTAAAATCATTTTTGTTAGTTATTTTATCAGTATATTCTGTAAGTCACATATACTAATATACATGCATGCTCAAGCAAGGTGAAATATGCATTCATGCATGTGTCAAATGGTCTATTTGAATATAAATTAGAATTGTTTTTGAGAGTTTTTTTTTTATTAAAAATAGAGAATATTTTTTAGTAAAGACACACTCAAAAATGTTTCTAAATTTGTATTCAAACAAGTTGAGAAAGTGAAAATGGTGAAGGAAAAGAGAGAGAGGAGAAAGAACATGCATTAACAAAGCAATCATGGAAATGAAGACGGAGCAAGGAGGCTCCCATGCGATGCTCATTGGCAACTGCACTTTTTACTGCAGATTTTATGGTGGAGAGGGCATTGGGGCATGTTTTTCCATAGAAACCTGAAGATAGCTGAGCAGAGGCTACAGCAAGTAGAGAAAACAAAATAGAGAAGCAAAATACGTTATAACGCGAATGGAAAGCCATTGTTCAAATTCACTAGTACTAGCACTTAATGAGAAGTAGCTAGGTCAAGTTCAAATTGCACTTGTGTGGTTGAGTAGAACACTGCTCGAGCTTAATTTATAGCAAGGCATGCGCGCTCCAATTTGGACCTTATGCGATCTGGTTGTGATCAACTTTAATTTGGTCAAAATAAAACAGAAAATAAAACACTACTATGAATGAGTTATTGGGTTCCAACCAAAGTCTCCCATTTTGTTAATGCATGCATGGTAGTTGCTTATATTATTTAGATTACTTGTGTATTAAAATTAAAGGTAATGTTCAAAGTAATTGGGGGGAAATAGATTTCTTAATGCAGTCGATAGACTTGGAATATTTTATTGTTTGAGAAATGTTCGTTGCACTTAATTATAGGCCTATTAATAATAAACAGTTATGTAAATTTGAATATCACGTACAACATTTTGTATTTTAAAAATAGATAAAGAGATACCGTGTATAATGTACAGTATGGCTGATATACACCAAATATATTCCCCTTATGAGAAAAATCGTTTATGGATTCTTTTTATTTGAATTAGCCAAAATTTTTAATTTAGATATGTTAAATATGTAGACATATGCATAGTTTTAAGTATTATTGGAACACAACATGTATTTTTTTCAAATTGTAATTATAGTAACATCTATTTGATTAAATTAGTTAAGATTGAATTGCAAGGTTGTTTAATATAACAGAATCTCTATAAACTCCTCAATAAATATCATACAATCAGAATCATGAATATATATGTTCAAACAAATTAAATGAACAATGCATATATTTGCATCGATCACTATATCTTTAAATTTAAAAATGAGTCATTAATTACAATATATAATTATCACAATGTAGTACATAAATAATAACTATCCTAACTATGTTAAAATATGAAAAAAGAAACTAAGCTAAGAAAAGGAAAGTTAGCCTAGAGACCATTTTCAATCATTTCTTGCACGGAAGTCATGGATGCGGAAGAGAGCGCGTAAATATTAAGTTTTTGACCTTTTTTAATGATATCAACTTGCCTATTTATAAAAGGATGGGAAGAATAGTTAGATTCATTGTGTCACGCATAATTGCTCCACTACTTGTGATATGTGTAACTTCTTTCAACCGCTCTTAACTAGTTTTTGGAAACCGTTTTTTAACTATCAAATAGTCTTATCTTAGGAGCCTACAATCATCATTTTAGAGAGGTAGTTATTATGCACATATTCTTCATAACCCATATCCACTCTGTGATTGCATCATATATATAGGTAACCCCTGGAACTGTTTGTAACCACCTTGTAATTGCTCATTCGAGTTACATAGTTTTTTTTTTTTTTCGAGATTGTAGGGTATACATGATATTTTAGCCACTCCTCATTCTATTATGCGTATACCCTATTTATCTTTTGCTTGTTTTCTTTTGGTCCTCGAACATACTTCTAAATATATAGAATTCTCTTAACACCCACATATTCATGCAAGTTTTGTCCTAAAACTTGAACTTGGCTAATAAGAAAATATATTTTTGCACAAGTGTGATAACTTTTTGTTTGTTCCTTTAATTTTGGAGGAAAATTTTTAAAATGTGTATACGAAAAAGAAGAAAAAAAATATAAATAAATTATATATATATATATATATATATAATATTAATTAAGTACGTGAATGCTTGTGTGATAAAAACAAAAACTATACTTCTTTAATTAATTAAGCACATCGATATCATTTTCGTTCTTCGTGCCATTAGCTACCATTAATTTACTATTGGTGGCGGGTTTCTGTAATGTTAGTGTTGTAAGCCTTTGAAAACGAATTTAAAAGATGGATACTCTCAGTATTCCAAATAAAATGTCTCATTTTCAATATTAAGGTGTGGAAATGCAGGGCTGTAAGCTATGAAAAATAAAATACTGTTTTTAAATTAAATTTGCTTCAATGCTTTGACTTGTGCAGTTGCTTAAAGCCAAAGTCTAATAACTAATTAATTAATTTTGTTCATCTTGATCAGAAGATAACCTAATCTTCAACAAAATAGTCATAAAAGGTAGCTACCACATCTTATATACGTATAACACTTCTAGTCTTCTACTATAAAAATTAAAGTAGTAATGATATATTTATTCACGAATAATAGAAAAATAAATACAAGAGCTGACGTAGTGCTTTCATTCATAAACTATTGCCCATTTGGAATGTGAACATGCGATTAAAGGAATCCAGTTAGTCAACAAAGCTATTTTCAGAACTTGGAAACCATTCTGCCAATCTGCCAAACTTCAGAACATTCCACATGTATGATAATATTAATTTTATATATGCACGATAATATTAATAATAATACCAAAAGTAAACGTAATATACCAAAAAGGGTCCAAAAGGTTCATATTTGAAGCTGGTTTGTGAGAGGACCCAAGCAAATGGAAGAATATATATTTAGCACTATACGTATATTAATTGACTTTTCATGTGTCACTAGCATATTCAATGCATGCATGTCTCGTGTGAGGTCCACCATTTATCCTTTGTGTCTCATTTGATTAAAGATGGAATATTGGTTTCTACTTTCCCCATTCATTTGAATTTGCAAAGGAAGCAGTCGAAATGGGAAAATAAGGTGCAAGACAACTTACCTACGTACCGTTGCCCAACATCCCACTAAACTCATGGGTTGAGACCTTTCTTTTGGGTTTTTAAAAGAATAGTGTGATAGACGGACAGAACTATTTGACAACCTCGTTTTTGGTTATAAAAGAATAGTGTGATATATAGATGGACAGTACTATTTGACAAACTTTTTTTTTTAATTGAGAAAACCTCAAGTTTAGTATTTATTAGAGATAAGACAATGAAAAAAATATAAATGAAAGCATCTTTAAATTATGATCCGTTTTTTAGGATTAAATTAGATTCAAATATACATTTTAAGATTAGTAAAGATCACATGTATCTTTTACTAAAAAAAAAAAAATCATGTTAACATTAGATATGACTATCATAAGTGATAAAGTTATCCCTTCAAGCATTTAATATGGACCGAAAATTTTACAAACACTATTAATTTTTTTTTCTTTTGTTTTTCTTCTTATTGCATCATATTACATGTTATATATGTTAATTTCTCTATTTTTCTCTATCCGTGTGTTAGTTGTATATACCATGAAGTTGGTTAATGCAATATTTTCCTTTTCAGAATGCATATATGCAAGTATACAAAATGAGTTACTATAGTTATATCATTCCTTAACTAATACACTAGTTTTTTTTTTTTTTAAGTTGACACACTAGTGTAGCTAGGGCTTTCTATGTTAAGTGTTTGGGACATTCTATATCAACTCTAAATGCAATATAGAAAATTGACTTTCTATATCGAATAGTCAATGTCCGTCATAGTATGAATATCAAATGTGATATTTTAATCATATTAACACTTACATTTTATGTCAGGTGTGACCAAACATGACATAGAAAGTACACATTTTATATTAATGGGTGTGATTTTACCTGTCATACAATGTGCACCTTTTATGATGGATATGGTTAAACCTTGTTATCTCCTTTGGCAAGTGTACCAAATCATATAAGTAATTCAATGAAAGTATGAGTATCGTCTCCCAAGGAATTTGCGCAACACTTTACAATTTCACTTGTTATACTAACTAAGCTACCTAAAAGCAATTAAAATCTGATTTTTTGTAGTAAATAATGTAAGCAAACAAGGTGAATGTTATAAGAATTATTTTTGGTATTTTTGTAAATACTTAGGGTGCAAAACTTGATTCTAAAGCAATATTAAGAAATGTTGGGGTTTGACTTCACTAAACCTTCTTCTCATGGTTATCACTGGACTCACAATAGTTATCATTCAGAATTTATCAATCACTCTAAAAAATAATCAACCCTAATCTCTTACAAGTTGGCATCTAAGTTGCTAACTTAAACTATCAATCTCTTGCATAGTTTAACCAAGAAACCAACTTTATATTTAAAAACCAGAGTTTAAGAAAGACTAATGTCATTTACTCTATCTCTAGCAACACTACTAGAAAAATTAAAATTAGAGAGGGAACAAATCCGTCACTAATTTTGATAAAATCCGTCACAAATCAATTAGTGACGGAATTTGTGACGGAAATGATTCCGTCACAAAATTTGGCGTCACAAAATATTTAGTGACGGATTATTTTTTCCGTCACAATTAGTGACGGAATTAAGGCATCACAAACAGTATAATTTCCGTCACTAATTTCTAATAATAAATGTTTAGAAATTAATAAAAATCCGTCGCAATTTGTGAGGGATTAAATCCGTCACAAACTGTGATGACTTTAATTAAGTAGAATCCGTCACAATTTGCGA